GTAATTTCAACATCAACTTTGTTTGTTAGAATATTATCAATTAGGATGGCTGAGTTATTGTAAACACGCGTTGGTTTGTCAATAGTTGGGATAAATGAAAAGCTTTGAAGAGAAAGTAAGAAGTCCTGAGCATAACAGGAAGTTTCGGCATGAAGGAGGTTTATGTTGAAGTCGCCCATAATATATATTGATTTGTTTGAGGTAATTAGTCTTTCAAGTTTATCATCAAAATATTCTTGGAAACGTTTGGAGAGTTATGTTGTCTATATATGATTCGATACCACAAATGATGTTACTTTTGTGTGGAAGTTGAATTTCCATCCAAAGTGACTGGAAGGCTTCATCAGATACTTTTTCAATGACAGTATATTTCAGGGAATCATTAATATACAAGCTAACACCTCCAGAAGCTAGAGGTGTCGGCACATATTTGAAAACATATCCAGGTATGCGTGGATTAAAATCCATTTCTTTACCACTGATTATTTTAGTTTCTGAGACTCCTATAATGGTAAATTCAAAATTTAACTCGTCCAGTAGATGAACTTGAAAGTTTTCAAGGTTTCGCTTAAGACTCCTGATATTATTATGTAAAAGAGAGAAGCCCGAATCACTGACACGACTGGGAAGTTCACTTTTAAATTTGTAGAAACTATATGGGGAATAGTATCGACTATGAATACGATGATTATAGAGACTATCACCCGGATTGGTGTCTTCAAGTGCGTTTAGCTTGAAAAGATTAAGGTCATAGATGCTAGAGAGTTTTTCTAGGTGTTTTTTGGCCGGCAAATGGGAAGGTAAACAATTATTAAATTGACCATGAGCTAAGTTTACATTTAATCCAAAATATGGGAGCTCGCGGAATAAAGATAGAGTATCGCGAGAGTTTTGATCGTTAGCACTCATGAATAAAACTAACTAAAGAAGATCATAGTAAATACTTATCGAACTGATAATTTCAGTTGTCCGAGACAAGTCGCTGTAGACTACCAATGTCCGTTATCTTTATTGGTCGGGAACACTCATTCTTGCGTAAATAAATCGTGGAATTCTTGGCCCAGCATAAGCGGTATTGGTTTTGTTCTTTAAATCTTTTCGCGTCAAACAATAGGTGTTTTTTTTTGGGGGGGGGGGGGGGGGGTGAGGGGTCGAAGATTCTGTCTCTGTCAAGAACACTATCAGCAGAAAGACCGATATTTGATGGGTTGACTTGAGAGGCACTTTGTCGAGTTTCCATGACACTTGCTTTTGCAAGGCGTCTTACAAATTTACAGATGACCGGTTTCGGAGCGCCATTTTGCTGTCTCGAGGGGACGCGATGAACAATGTCAATGTCCGACAGAAACACTTCTGTACCCATCTCCCGGAATAATTTTACGCACAGGGCGCTTGTTTCAGCTGCGGTTTCACTGCTTTTCTCTGGCAGGCCAATTATTTTTACATTAAATTAGTAGCTATATTCCTCAACCTTGTCAATGGCGTTGCCAACACGTGTGACTTCAGCGCTAAGCTTATTAAGACGCCGGCTTAATGCCTTGAGTTGATCAACGACACCAGAATTAGACGCTGACAGGGCGTCGTATTCGTCGCTCAGATATTGTACACTACGAGACACGGTTTCATCATTCGAAGCATTATTATTGCTATTACCAGACGTAGCAGCTGCTTCAGCACCAAAGGTAATGGCCGAATCGACCCGAACCTTCTCTTTCAGCTGCGTTATTTCCTTCGAAAGGGCGTCGACCTTATCCTTTAAATCTTGATTTTGTTGCTTTAGTGAAGTAACTGACTCTTTTGGCATGATTTCAGTGAAAATTATTAACAAAAGGACAGTAGAAAATTGACTCATTAAGGTAAGAAGCGGGAGCTCAAAATTAAAGGTCCATCTTGGTTCCTGACCGCTGACCAAAAATCTCATAATTTGTACTAATAACTTCGTACTTGTGAGGTTTAAACACTTTTTATTAACTTTAAGACAATGGCTGGACTAGATTAGCCTACAGCTGCAAACTGAATGAGAGCTTCAAAAGTTGATGGTGAACCAAGCTTTTAGAGTAACTTGACCCTCTTACTTGCCCTTACTTAAAACTTACCACAACTTTGAATGTCGACTTATTTGCAAACTCACCCGCCGTGCTTGAACTGATTGACGGAGAGACACTTGTGGACAGGCTTTTCGAGATGAATAAGGTTTGGCTTGTTAACACGACTGCTGAGGTACTTTCTGAAAGAGGTATCAAAAGCTTGTAAATTAGACAAACAAAAAATCTGAAAGTTCAAAGTTGTACTTGGGTGTACTAAACTCCATATTTGTCAATGTGGAAAAATATTGTATATGCCCTTCAGCTGCAGAACACAGAGTACGCATGGATACAGGACAATGCAAGGGCTGGAAAAGTGGAAGGCCAACCATTGTCAGTACCACTGACCACTAAGAAAAATTCTTTTATTTTTCTTAAAATACCTCCACGCCAATGATCAATCGGCTGCCATAGAAACGTTTAAAGATGTCGAACACAATTTCAACAACTTTGTGATGTCCCCTGTGATATTTTAGGAAAAGATGCCTATACATTTCGTAGCTGATAGCTCATTAAATGGTTTGGAAGTAGTAGCTATATTCCTCAACCTCGTCAATGGCGTTGCCAACACGTGTGACTTCAGCGCTAAGCTTATTAAGACGACGGCTTAATGCCTTGAGTTGATCAACGACACCAGAATTAGACGCTGACAGGGCGTCGTATTCGTCGCTCAGATATTGTACACTACGAGACACGGTTTCATCATTCGAAGCATTATTATTCCTATTACCAGACGTAGCAGCTGCTTCAGCACCAAAGGTTATGGCCGAATCGACCCGAACCTTCTCTTTCAGCTGCGTTATTTCCTTCGAAAGGGCGTCGACCTTATCCTTTAAATCTTGATTTTGTTGCTTTAGTGAAGTAACTGACTCTTTTGGCATGATTTCAGTGAAAATTATTAACAAAAGGACAGTAGAAAAACGACTCATTAAGGTAAGAAGCGGGAGCTCAAAATTAAACGTCCATCTTGGCTCCTGACCGCTGACCAAAAATCTCATAATTTGTACTAACAACTTCGTACTTGGGAGGTTTAAACACTACTTATTAACTTAAAGACAATGGCTGGACTAGATTAGCTTACAGCTGCAAACTGAATGAGAGCTTCAAAAGTTGATGGTGAACCAAGCTTTTAGAGTAACTTGATCTTCTTACTTGCCGTTACTTAAAACTTACCACAACTTTGAATGTCGACTTATTTGCAAACTCACCCGACGTGCTTGAACTGATTGACGGAGAGACACTTGTGGACAGGCTTTTCGAGATGAATAAGGTTTGGCTTGTTGACACGATTGCTGAGGTACTTTCTGAAAGAGATATCAAAAGCTTGTAAATTAGACAAACAAAAAATCTGAAAGTTCAAAGTTGTACTTGCAATTGGGTGTACTAAACTCCATATTTGTCAATGTGGAATAATATATTGTATATGCCTCTTCAGCTGCCGAACACCGAGTACGCATGGATACAGGACAATGCAAGGGCTGGAAAAGTGGAAGGCCAACCATTGTCAGTACCACTGACCACTAAGAAAAATTCTTTTATTTTTCTTAAAATATCTCCACGCCAATGATCAATCGGCTGCCATAGAAACGTTTAAAGTTGTCGAACACAATTTCAACAACTTTGTGATGTCCCCTGTGATATTTTAGGAAAAGATGCCTATACATTTCGTAGCTGATAGCCCATTAAATGATTTGGAAGTATTTCATCATAATCAGCAACTAAAAGTGCCCCAACCTTTTTCATATAGATATTTTAAGCCGTCGTGCGTAGTGACGAGAGATTAACAATTCAATATTATACCGGAAGACAACCATTAATTTAAGCTAAGACAATACCCCCATAGTGGGGGTTCATTGGGCTGCCGACTACGTGATGCAGTGGTTTATTATTTTGGGAAGTATAGATTATAACTACACTCTTAACCGGCTTGAGTGTAAAAATAGCTATCCCTAACCTATGGAATGGGATGGAGATAGCCTTTTGAACCAAAAAACAATTGGCATTATTTTTAACTGGGACATTTCCACAAGTCACCTCCTTCCCCATCCCTCTGCCACTAAACATAGCATGATAGTACTAACGTTACTAATCTGATCTAATGGAAAATTCCAAAACTCATTGTCGTTCTACGCTTATAAAATGCGATAAGGCCAATTTTGGTGTTTTAAATACTTTAGTTTCAGTTTTATTTCTGAATATTGCATTAAAAGCCCTTCGAACTATCCAAGTGAATATGTTTCTATTTGATATAGCATGTTCCTTTCTCGTAAGAAAAGACTTCTTACACGCAAAGGGAGAATTGCGAGGGCATTGTTACTGCAGCTCCCGAACAGGCTCACAACATCATCGAATACTGTAATTAGATAATCGTTCGGGCGTAGATAGAGGACCAATAAGTCCATGCAATAATTTTGTTCCAAATCGACTTCCAAAGCTGTTTACCAGACGACCAGAAATGACCGGTCCCCTGCCCGCAATAATCGATCCCATTGAAGGGGCAATGGCAATGGCTATCCCAAGCCTTTCTCAATCTCGATAAGTAAAAAACTACGATTATCTACATGGCGTCAATGATAGTTCGGTGGGAGTTAATTCTCGCCTGATCCCACAGCTGGAACTGCATCGAACTTATACAATGTTATATCTGATTAACACGTTTCCATATTAAGTGAAATATACACATAGCCGTCAATAATTCAAACATCCAGAGACGCGAAACAAACCAAAGAAGAAGCATAATGCATTTACTTACGGAACTTTGCAATAACCCAGGTTGCCTGAGTGAACATGTTCGTCGATGAGCAAGAGGCACTGCTAGAACTTGATGCCAGCTGGGAAGGTAAACTGTTCTTGTAATCTGCATACGTAAAGTTAAGCAGACTATGGAATCAATGTTCAAGATTTGTGGTCCATCTTTATGAGTATGTCAAAATAAAATTATAGCGGAACCCTTGCGCGAAGCGCGAGCAGCAGAGCACCATGGGTAAGAAAACTTTGGTTCTGAGAAAATCATCCGTACGTAGGTCCACCCCTTCGTGTAAGCCTGTGTGAAATTTTGCATTTCAAGCACCCAAGCATTTCGGCGGTAAATTGCATGGCCCCTCGGACCTTTATACGCAGCGTCCTAAAGGCCATGCAAGTTGTCGACTTGTTCTAGTTGTGCATGTGGAGTTGTCGAGATGTGCAGTTCAAGATGTCGACATGTTGAATTGTCAAGTTGTCCACTTGACGGGTTGATCGAGTTGTCGAGCTGTCGGTTCTATCCCAAAATAATCAGGGATGGAATGGTACTCAGGAAGGCCGTCTTCCTGGGTACTGCTCATTCTCGGAGGACCCTATCCTTCAGGTAACCCATCACACCCTTGTGATTGGTCCAAGTTCAAAGAATGGACACGGCAACATATGAAAAAGGAGCAGGACTTTGGGGGAAAATAATGATTATAATAATAATAGTAGTTAAAACAACAGCCTAAACTTAAGAAAAAAGTATGCACTTACTGTGGTTTGTAACACTGCACCATGCCGAGAATCCAGACCTTGGAATTATAGAGTCCGAATGAAATCGAACAAAGAGAAATCTGCCACTGCTGTATAAGTCAAAACTTCCCAAAGAACCACACGCCTTTGTTATTAAAGAACTTGACATTGTTTTTCCATCGTATATTTCCAAGTAATCCCACGGACAGTGATTTCCTTCGTATTCCAGATTAAAATGATAAATATGTAACTGTATGTAAAAACCTGGTGGGGCCTCGATCAACCATGTACAGACCAAGTTATTTGGATAACAATCAGGATAACCAGGACTATGGAAGTGCGTGTAAAATGGTGCGTAAATATGGGTTCCACAAGATCCTAAGAGTATCAAAATAGAATTAAACACCGAGTGAAGGTAGTTAAACCTAGTTTTGCGAGAGTCGGTGACCAGAATGACCAGAATAAGAACTTCTACGTATAACTTAAATCTCAGCGAACTGTCGGCATTCATGGGTGACTGTGTACTGTTACCCCTCTGACGTCATAGAGTTTGCAAAGTTGTCCTCTCTGATACTCTTGCAACGAAACACTTTTATTGTTAGATATCGTTTGCCAGTTTTACAAGAAAATATATTTGGATGATTTTTTCAGTTCAGATGCCGTGAAAAGTCCATAGCACCACTATATCCCATAATGCCAGGTAGCCATTACAGAAACGCGCCCATTCAAAAACGTCGATCGTGAAAATGCAAATAAGTGAAAAATGACGTCAATTTAGTGTCAATCAAGAAATCTCCTGGGTATATCCCTTTCCTGGTTATTGTTCCTGCTCAGACATCCGCAACATTTGCCTATTCTTTGATGAAGAATAGAACTTCACGCGAATAACAATAGCTCAGTCTGTTAAAAACTGTCTAAACTTACTCCGAATTAGCATGTGACTTTTTGCTGTTAAACGCGTCAAAATTGAAAAATCCTCGGATCATTGTTGTTGATTTTACCGTAAATAATTCAATGCACTGACTTAAAATGAATTTCTACCTTTTACAAACTTCTTGGTGTTCGAATCGATCGATGAAATATGAGCGCAACCGATGCGTTAATAGTTTGTTTACATTTTGTCACGGGTTTTGGATAATATTATAAACCTTAAAATTTACGGGCAAATTCGACGAAAAAGCACTCTCACTTACATTCTTCATTTAAGATATTTATTTTAGCAAAGTATAAGGCAAAATTAAGAGCGATACTTTCTTTAAGAACGCTATAACTACATATTCAACGGCCAAACCTAGACAGCGATCTAATCCGTCTCTTGAAAACAACTACAATACCGCTTCTGATAATAATATTTATAAACGCTGCAAACATTTTTATTCAATCTTATCGAGTGATTTTCGTGAAGATGAGTTTTTAAGTGAAGAATACTTTGGTTTCTGATTAGTTTTAACTGTTTTGCCATCAAAACGATTCGCACGAGACTACCGAATTCGCGAGGGTTTTATGTTAGTGCACGAGGAAGAAAAATGCTTCTCTTTGCATAAACATTTTCTTCTTTGTAGCAATGACAAAGACATTCCAACACTTTAAACAATGGCAACCTACTTCTATTGTTTCTGCATTGTCTCTTGAAAGTGTGAGAATAGTTAACCGCTATGAAGTTCATAAGAGACCGAAAACGACGGTAGTCTTTGAAACTTCGTTTTTGCTCGCAAAGCCTAATGGGTACCCCACTTTTCACGGGCGACGTTTTTCAATGGGCGCGTTTCTGTAATGCAACGCACTCAATCGGGCTATTTTTAACATAGAAAAGGCACCCAGGAGTTTTAAGCCTCCTCCCACTATATCCTTGATGAGGGTCCGAACTACAACATTTTATTAGATTGATTGTCTTGTCTTAAGCAAAAATGCCACACTAAACAACATTGAAAAAGATATATATATATATATATATATGATCGACTAATATTTCATCCTGGCCAGGTGGCATTTCCCATGTAGTAGGAGGGAAAATACGAGCCTGAATTTCATCCGTCTCCTCGATTCGCACCCACTGCTGCGGCAATGATAAGAAAAGGGAAACTCCCGAGAAGGACTTCTGAATCAACGAACCGTTAATGCCATCTTAAAACTCACTTAATCTACAGACAGAAAGATTGCGTACTAACCTGGGTCAAAAGACACGCTTGGACTGGCATGCGGCGAAACACCTTGTGACTCCCAAATTGAAAAACTAGCAGACGTCACCCTTGAGGCTGAAACAGTCGCGCTGGTAACAGGTGAGATACTTCCAGAAACACTTGGCGAAGTTGAGACGGTTGCACTGAAAGATCTTGAAGCGCTCACAGAAACGCTTGTTGACGCTGAGACGCTTCGACTTAACGATGGCGAAACACTTAAGCTTGTTGTGGCAGAATTCCTAATACTGGTGGAAGGCGAGACACTTTCAGACACAATTTGTGAAGCTGAGACGGTTGTACTTACGAATACCGAAGGACTTACAGACTTGCTTGTTGAGGCACTTAGGCGTAAAGATGGCCAGACACTTTGCGACACACTTGAAAATTCTGAAAATCAATCATTTTTCTTAACAATTGATAGTAATTTGTTCAGCACAACCCGGCTGGAATTTTTGTTACTGCTGCGTTGTAACTGACGAAAATACCATTACTTTAATGATAATGAAAATTTCTCTCATCGCTATAGGTTACCCATTTAGCCTGGGTAGCAGAAACTAGGGTATAGTTGGAAAGTGAGTTTAAAGCTTTAAATCACCGTTTATCTCACCTTGCATACTACGCTTCACTCTGGAGTGAGAACCACATTCGTTGATGTCTGAAAAAAAATTTTTTTCAGAAAGTGGAGAAAATTTTGCTAGTAACACCAACTATCGTGGCCATCTCGGCTGGCATTTTAATCTCAGTTATGACACAGGTTCCCTGCTAAATGCCCATTGTGCATTGTATTGATTAAACCTGCCTCATTCCCAGACGTCTCTCTCGTGATCATAATGTCATTTTGCGCGCAAAGGAAGGCGGGAATGTGAAATTCGCTTCTCAGCTTGGTTCTCATTCCTGTATTCTTTTTGGTTTCGTCACCAGTCACTTGCTTTTCAAAATCGCCTTGATGCGAAAAACAAAGCGCCTGAGGAGGAAGCAGGTATTAAACCACGTTACAGTCCGTATAGAAAGAAATTTTAAAACGTGAAATCTTTTCAACGTTTCATATAAAAGAGTGAAAAAAACTTAGTTAATTCCCTTGTTTTGCACTGCGCACCCTCTACTGTGCATAACATTGCGACATCCAAGATGGCGGCGGTTCTTCCCACTAGCGGGAAAAGAACAAACAAGGGCCGCTTTTGTAGAGCTAAAGCTTTTATTGGCAATAATAATGCCGCAGATCGGCTGACAGCTTCCTGGTTTGCTATCGAAAAACAAGAAAATGAAAGAAATGTGTGTGATCCCGAAGTTTTTCACTTCGCGGCCGTCAAGTTGTGGAATTATTAAAATGTCCTGACTGAGGCTTTAGATTATGGGGGCTGTGAAGCCTGTGGGATAGCTCTACGGCTCTCCAACTGCATTAACGAGCCAGTATCTGGCCTGGGATCGCTACTGTACATATGTTGTTCTAACTCTTAGGGTGGAGAGACGAATATTTCTGGAACAAATCATTTGTTCCAGATATATGAAGAACCACCGTAGCACCAGAACCACGCGGGGGAGTCTTTGATGTAAACACGAAGTTTGCTTCTGAATTATTCACATTTTGCTGTGTATCGAAACCAAATAAGCGAACATACCAAGAACAGGAATCAATACTCTTTTCTTCACGTTTCTTTGCCGAGCATTATTGTGCAAAAGCAAAAAAATCGAACCGAAGCTCACTGAACGCCGGCGTTACAAAATAGTCCAAAATAAAGATTCATAACTCCAAAGTCTCATCAAAACTTGACTTACCTCATTCCTTGGTATTTAGTATACTCTTTTGAAATTTGAGTTTCAGTGTTGCCGATATCAAACACATAACAACAACCGAAAACAAGTTTGATCTCGAGTGCATACTTCGAACACGATGGGCTTTATTTTGTATGTCGCCCCAGTCCCCACCGCGCAAATTATCCATCCTGACTGCAATCTCAGAACCATGTCCACCTTTCAGAGCAGTATGTGAGGAAACAAGCACGGTGACCCCCGATTTTTTTCCCAGGTTTTTGCTAAAAACAGTCTAATAAAGAACATATTTGAAGAAGAAAAAAAGTTGATAGTAGAACATTATTTTTTGGGAAGAATAGTTTCGTATTTGATGTATTTGGGTCAAGGCGAGCACTTCAAGTTAACCACGGAACTGTCCGAAAAAGTGCAATATCCCCACAACCTGGCAATCAAAAACCAATTGAATGAAGCAATACTGTTTTTTCTTTTTAATGAAAGAAGCTTGATGTTCAAGATAAAATTTTGTGTGTTTCAAGTAACAAAGATTTAATTTTGTAAGCAAGGGATTCGAATTTTTAACGCGCAACCAGCAAAATTACCCCAGTTTAAAAGCCTGCTGACGCGTAAACAAGCGCGGTGACCCCATCTTTTTATTGCATTTTTTTAATGTCCATATCATGAACGTTGATTTTGCCAAGTTTAAAAAAAAGTTTAATAGTAGAACAATTTCAGGGGAATTACCTTAAGAAAGAAAGAAAAGAAAGCCTCCCCAATCACCTCTCAGTTCTTGCTTTGTTTTACGATATTGAAGAAGAAGGGAAGACTTTTATTAAAGTAAATAAGTTTCGGCTTAAACTTCAGCCATCGTCTAATAGGTACAGGTAAAAGAATCTGCTAGTAGGTTTGATATGATCTATATTTTACGGTAAATAATACATCAAACCCAAAACATGAAGGCATAGATGGCGACACGTAAAGGAGCTTTACTTAAACAGATGCAGTCATTTTAGTTTCAAAACTGACTTATTAGCCTTACAATTTCATATTTGTTGCTTTTACTTACCCAGACAAGTAGTAAAGTTTGGTGAGGCAAGGGCATAGCCAACGGGACAAAAACCAGTAATAAACTGCCAGTCACTTGTGTTAGTTATCCCTGGTGTGGGTGGTCCGTCATAAGAACAACCTTGTCCAACCACTGCACCACGATCCATCAAGGTCGCGTACGAGCCGTTCATACTTAATGCAGCATAAGGCATTGCGAACCACAGGGTGGTAAGATCACTGTTGATTATGGCAAACTGAGAGAGTGTGTCCACTTTATAAACTGTGTGACCACTGGGAAGAAGAACGAGCCGGATGTAGGAAGAAGTGCGAGGCTTCTTTATCTGTGTGGAAAAGAAACGTTAGATCATATTGCCTCAAATTTTGGCAAAGATTGTCTTCAGTTTCTTCCCAAAAATTAAGAAAATAAACATTTAAAGTTTGCAGCTGGGTGAAGAAAGATGGGTTGTGGAAACATAATAATGTCGAGGAAAGAAGGAAGACAGATCGGAATTACCTGCGAGAGAAAAGGTCTCGGAGAGTATTACTCTATATTCAACGAAGGCCACTATGCACATGGTGACGATGATGAGCGAGTGACTGAGAATACAAAACATGAGTACAGTAAAAGAAAGGTCGGCGTCAGCGGGAGAGCCAATAGAAAAAGAAGGTAACGGTCGGGATAAACACGGGATTGGAGTAAAATTTGGGGGCAAAAGGAAGACAAAAAATACCTTTCAACGACAACAAGGGATGATGACAGCCTTATAAAGAGGTATAAGCGTGAAATGTTCTGCTAAGCTAAATCGTTTTATTCTTACCACTTGATCAAACTGTATGCTCCTCCAGATATAACCTGGTCCGCTGGTACTGAGAGGAGTTTGAGGCGTTTGCCTTCCCAAAATAACGCGGGGGGTACTACCTGTGGGCAAAAATAGAATTCCCTTACCATTTGCGAAAATGAGAGCAACCTACTGAGATATTATGACTGTGTTATTCTCAAACGGGAAGTGTGAAATATGCGCCGTCCTCAAATAAGCGCGACAGTGCAAATATAGGTGGACATTAATATTCGTCGCGGGCGCTCATAGAATAAATATGGTACGTATTCCTCCTATTTTGAAGCGTGCGCCACGAACAATTTACAAATTGTACACTGGACTTGCCAATGAGAAAGCAAGAAACGCACTTGGAGTTAATCATCTTTCAATCTTTGTAGCTAAGCGTTTCCTAATATAGCTCCGAGGATTAACGAGTTTACTTACTTATACCGACAAGAATCGTTATGCATCTCCATTGACTCCCCAAACTAGGCAAGAAAGAAAAGACAGATCAGCAAGTTAAAGGTCATAAATCAGACAAACTGAGCATATTGCAAACTATAAGATTTATATCATAAAAGTGTTCAGCAATAACTTGCAATTGTTGGTCACTTTGTCGCTCAAATAAGCCGTCTTGCGGGCATTTGCAATCGACCATTTTGCAAATGAGGTTTCAAAAACTTCCTATTATAATTCGACAATTTATTCTCATTATTAGCACTTTTATAATAGATGTATGGTAAATTTTTCAAATGAAACACAATCCTCATCCGATGGATCTTCATCTCGCGGAAGGTTTTTTGGTGAATGAATAACGCCCTAAGAAACTAATAACAAAAAATATCATCTCACCATGATGAGTCAACTGCTTTGAAGCAGAACGACTGCTGTCCGACTTGATATTGGCTGGGGTACCACGTGACATTTCTGTAATAGACTCCTCCATTGTAACGTAAAGAAGTAATTTGCATTCCAGGTGGAGACGACGTCACTACCTCAACAACGCTGAAATAAATATGATTGAATCAATTGAGTGGCAAATAAAGAGATTTCATGTGCGCTTTTCATTGGGTTCTGACTTCAATTATAACAAAAAAACTCTCACTGTTTTGAGAAGTCTGCAAGTGTGACCTCAATGACAGCTCTGTACACTGAACCAATCTGCACTTCGGTGCATTCTCCATCCTGGGGTGTTAAAGGAGTGAATACAGGAACATTGTTACAAGAACCAGAATGGCTGCTTATTATAACAAGAAACTGCAGTCCCACAGCACTGAATGGAGTAACGCCGTCGAAGTTTGTAGTTCCTGCTGGAAAGTCCTCTATGGTCAGAGCTACGGCGTAAGTACCAGTCGTGCCACTAGTGCCATTGTACGTCAGCAGGCAGCTTTTCTATTGAGAAAAATAAGGAGGATGTAACACTGAGATATCTGGATCCGTGCGTTCAGATAGTGGAGTGCAGGGCGATGTCAGCCTGCTCACTGCTTTGCCGCGTCTCCACTATCTGAACGCCTGGAACAGGCTAGTTAAAACTAAGATCCTCAATCCCGATTGAAATTTAATTAACAATTATTCCTCGAGCCCGAATGGGCTCTGAGTCAATAACCCATGAGTCGGCCTCATGGGCTATTGACTCAGAGGCCATGAGGGCGAGAGGAATTATTGTTTTAGCAAAATCCAACTGGTTGGTCAAAAATAGCGCGAATAAAAAAATTTTAGCTAGTTAAAGCTAGACTTTTATCCTTTTTTACCGCCCAAAAAAGCGTGCCCTTTTCGCTACTAGTAGGCTATAACATATAGCCTACTGTAGTAGCTCAACCAATCAGAACGCTTCATTGATATTAGACCACTAGTTGGATTTTACTAATTTCCGTTATTGTTTATTCAAAATTAATATTTCTCCATTTCTGATTGGCTCAAATCTCCCGGCTAATACCTTGTAACCTGACCAGGCGTTGACCTTAAACACGTCTGCTATATCCGTAAAATGACGTCATTGCCAGAAATCGTGGACATTTCGCGCCCGTGATTAATTGTCAGCGGAATCTCATTTTCAAAATGACGGACAAAAACTATCGTAGTCAGGGAAAGCGTATCCCCTGCGACCTTTTAAATAATTTGAGCTCTGTGGATCTGTTTTACGAAGAAAAAAGCCGGAATAAAACACCTTGCAAGAAAATGTTAGGTTTATACTCTGCCGAGCGGCTGATAGCAACAAAATAGTACGCGGATGTACCTTTCGTGACATTTTCGTGACAATTTTGTTTTAAAACCAAGCCTGGTAGGCTAATCGAGGATTTTTGAATGCCTGGAACCTAATTTATATCCCGTGAAGCATCTCTGGAGTTGTAGCAACAAACAAAATGGCGATTCGGTGAGGTTGGGAGTTGTGAAGCTTTGTCCGACCGAAATGTGTCATTCGCAACTATGGCGTCCATTACTGGAGTACAGATGGAAAACTGAGGGAAATAATGCGCCTTTGGAAGTATTTTGCAGTGCCAAAATCGTCCTTTTTACGACTGTTTAGGAAACATCTTACATCGCAGAAGTGATATCGAGTCGTGCAAATTTACTTCAATTTATCCTCTAATCGACGAGTATTTCGCATGACTTCGGCAAGATTTTAAGACAATGTATGGAGAAATGGAGCGTACAACGAGAGATAAAAGTGGCCACTTCGGGAAGTAAGTAAACCTACTTCTACTTAGCCATTTTTAACCCAGATGCGAAGGTTACACAGCACTTAACATGTTTCGAGTCGTGCACCGAAGACCCGTAAGCTTATAATCGATATATTTGAAAAAGTTTCCTTATCTCCATACATTTTCTTATACGAATTCGCAGCCATTATGGCCTTAGTGTGCACGCGCAAGAGCCATCTTGTCCCTAATTTCTGGCAATGCAATAGTACAGCCTATCGCTAGAAATAGGGACGCCATTAACTACTCAAGCTTAAGTTTAGTTTCATTTTTTCCATAGTCCCGTGTCCCTTTGTATTTCTTTTCTGTCATTTTTTCTACCAGAAGTAACGGGGTTTAAGCTCTAAAATGTTCATTTCAGGGTCAATAATTCTCTGTTACATAAAAAGAACGGAAAAACAAGCACATAAATCACCAGCACAGTTACCTCGTCAAGAGTACCATATGGAAAACTGTCGCTGTACACGTAGGACTCTGAATAAGTCGCTAATCGGCACTTTACCACATCTCCGTCTGCATCTTCTACTGGAATTCGTAGAGACTGGGGGCAGCCTTCATGCCATCGGACAATAGCAGGGCTTCTTGATACAGGAGAAGAGTTAATTCTGCCATTATCCGACCGAATGGTTAGGTTAACTGTTGTCGATACAAGCCAACTGCCACCTCCATAGCGAGATAAAGATATCCAACAGCAGCTAGTATAGCTGTTGTTACAAAACAAAGATGGAAAATTGTGGTCAGGTTATAAATGCTTTCATCACTTTTTGAATTTTTTTGTTTTTTAAGTTTCATTTTATTGGATTTATTGGTTCTAAAAGTGCAAAAACTTGCCTTACAATCCATTCGTCATGGATCGATGAGAAGGTGTGCGTAAAGTTGTTTTCACCCATTGACCAATCCTCGCTGGTACTGTAGTCTGTACAGCGAAAACCAGTGCTTCCTATGGTAACTGAATTACACTGTGAACTGTAGCTAGGATAGTTAACACACGCTGCTCTCCATGAATCTCCAGAACCAAGAAGGCTACCACTGCTTATGATATATGGATCACAGTCGTAAGAGGACGAGAAAGATCTTCGAAAAGCCAGACGAAAGGTGAATCGCATCTAACGACAAACAGGGATGAAAAATTTGAATTAGATTCCTAATGCTTTTGTTAGTAGTAAGCCGAATTTAAGCACCGAAGGCTGGAGATAATTAATGTAAACTTGAAAGCGGAGCAGCGGGGGAGACGGGGGGCTGGGGTAAGATAAGATAACTATATTTAAACACGGTAAAGCCCTTTAGGCAATTACAAAGGAATAAAAAAGAAAGAAAAACTAGCAACTAAAGATATTATACAATAGAATGTATGAATGAATTTACTTAAAGTGAACTAGCATTAGGCGTAAAAAAAGAACAAAACAACCACAAGGACTGCACAAGGACTCTCCACAGTATAATCTACGCGCTAGAAAGAAAAAATAGAAAATCTCTGAGGGATGAAAACACTAAAGTCACGTTTCACTACCTTATGATTGTGTTTGGCCTGTCAACACCGAATTTCCTGCTGTTTGATGAAGTACAATAGCAGTGTCATTTCGTCGTTGTGAATGGCTCTTCCCACCGTCGGCGCGCGAAGTCTCCCTTGGGAACCGTTCTAGTTATAAATCTACTCGGGAAAGGGTTGACTCCAAGGGCTTGTCAGTATGGGAGATGGAGGCTCCATTTGATGGGCTCCGGAGGAAATGTAATCTTGTGGTCTGACAGTCTTCTACGTATAAAATTTTCAAAGTAATATAGCCTTTAAAAATTGCTTGAAGGATTTTGGGAGATTTTTTTATGATAATTATAATTTACTTTTATAATTATTATTTAACTTACGCGATTGACCGTAAACTTAACCCACGTTTCAGCTACTTTGTTCCCTTACCATTGTTTTCTGCTATTGTTCTTACAACGCACCGCAAAGAAAATATGGTCAACTGCAGTAATGTTATCATGAAATAAAAAAAAAGAATTATACCCGATAAATGAATTAATTTTTTGGCTCTTTTTTATTTAGATTATTAAAACATTATCTAAAGGCGATTCAGACAGGCTCGATCAACGACATTTCTTCCGATGCGACTAATAATTGAGAATTATTATTCATTCAAAATATTTGCCTAATTCTAATTGGCTAAAAGCACACGCATAATTCACCATAACCAGATTTGGAAGAATTTTGTGTTTAACGAGGAAATGACGTCAAAAATGCAGCCTTCTACAGGTTAAGGCACCGTTAACCGAGAAGAGCTGGGGACGAGATTGAGTTGTTTTCGTTGTAAAATTAAAATGGCGGACACTTCACTCATTTTAAGAGTAAGAACTACAGCTGGAACTAGGCGAAATAATGGCTAAAAACATAGCAAAACAGCAAGAAGACAACTCGGAGGGCGACATCTGCTATTTGGAGAATATTTACGGAACTGGACAAACCAGAAGACAGGCGCGTGAAACAGAAAGTGAGAAGCGTATTCGGAAAACTCAAAACAAACCTTGTAAAGTCTAACAAGTTACAAACCCAAATCGTGATTATAGACCCTAAGCCACATGAGAGCACACATTTTTTATATACCATTGAGAATTCACCGACGGATTTGTCCAGGAAAAGCCGAACATCGACGAATACTTCTGAATACGATCATCAGTAGAGGTGAGAAATGACACGGAGTCTACATGAACAGGAGCCTATCAAATGGAGCCTCCATCTCCCATACAAGCCCTTGGAGTCAACCCTTTCCCGAGTAGATTTATAATTAGAACGGTTCCCAGGGGAGACTTCACGCGCCGACGGTGGGAAGAGCCAATCACAACGACGAAATGACAGTGCTATTGTACTTCATCAAACAGCAAGAAATTCGGTGTTGACAGGCCAAACACAATCACAAGCTAGTGAAACGTGACTTAAGCGTTTTCATCCCTCAGAGATTTTCTTTCTTTTCTTTCTAGTGGGTAGATTATACTGTGGAGAGTTTTACACTCTGACTATGTTAATCTTAATTTTGGTTGCTTGTGTCACATAGAGGCCATGAAGCTGGTCTGTTACATGCATAATATTTAACTACTACCTGCAATCTGAAGTTCTGACAGGATTCGTTTTCTTTAGCCAATTTTTTTGAGCGTTAAGGCTCTTATTTCGGCTAAATGACTCAATATTAATCAAATTTCTAGTTATTCAAGGCTTTTTTTTTTCCGAAATGCGTTTATCTGAATAAATACTTGTAGTCCTTGTGGTTGTTTTGTCCGTCAGTTAGTGTGATGATTCCCTGCTATGTTTTGTAACACCGGGCCCAGCCATTGTTTTCTCGCAAAAAAGTGATCTACAGATATGAATTCGGAGGAAAGAACTGAGCCTAAACTTCTGCATTAACTGCTGAGAATTAACCTGCTAGTCAGTCATAATTCTTTTGGCGCAGATACAATCCATTTTGTTTTTCTTGAGATAAGTGGGTCTTTGGAGCGCGATGTCACAAATTCCTCCGCTAGCAAATTATTCACGGTCGAGCAACTGTTGTCTTCTGTTCAACTTTTCAAGTGCCAGTTTTATCAGGCAACTCTTATGGTGATACAAGTCAGTTGTAAAGGAAGACTACAATTTCTCAAATTTCGGAACTGAAGCATTCCTCGTTAGTTGCTACTTAGGTCATCGCTTTTGCATGCGGTGCTTAACTGGCGAAATCCACTCCACCGTGATGACAAAAATCAAATCATCCTGGCACTTTTTCGGCACTGATCATCGAAAAGTTCCAAATCGTCCACAGAACGCTAAACATCGACTCTTTTCAAGGTGCATGCTTAAATGTGGGATGTAAAGCGGCAAAAAAAAAAAAACACTCGCAAAGATAACCTTTCCGTGATCCTCAGTTCGCTGCCTTTGTCCCATCGCTTCATGCTCAGTCTCAGTCGGGTAATTCATTAACCTTTATTTCATGATACCCAGATCCCAGCGGCTGTAAAATTGTAAAAATGGACGTATAGTAAAAAAGGAAAACGGTCGAAGGACGGGCTTCTGAGTTCGACTTCATCCAACTTCATTTTTTTCACGGTGACATACGAGACTCACGGAAATATGACACTTTTCGCGGGAAACAAGCCGTTCTATTTATAAACCTACTCGGGAAAGGGTTGACTCAAGAAATTAATGGAGATGGAGGCTCCATTTGATGGGCTCCTGACATGAATTATTATCGAAGGTTCAAGATCCAGAAAGTTTGATTTTTCGTAACATATGTCATTAACCTTTTCCATCGATTTTCCAAATACATATAACGATTATTTACTCGCTTATGTTATTGTATCATTTCTTTTGTTATTTTGGTAAACGAAACCGATTTCTCCCGCCCAGCGCCTACGCGTTTCTCACCTCTTCTGTTCATGTTCCTTTGGATGCTGTTTTTAACCAAATATGATAAAATAATGTCATAGGATGTTAAATAGGTTTTCTGTAAAATATCGAGGATGGAATGAAACACTAGGCAAGAATGAAGCGGATTTCTAGATGTAGCCGACGCGTACATTTGATTTTGGGTTGAGGTAAACTCTTTTCAAACCGGCAAAAGTAGTGTCCAGGTCAGCGCGGTCCCATAGCTGACTGTATCCCTTAAACTGAGCACCGTTGTGTGCGATTCGTCAAATACGATTTAAACCAATCAAGAGTTTTACCTTGAATTCCACAACGATTCATTTAGTTAGTACTATCTCATGATCAACAGTGTCAAATGCCTTTTTTAAGTCGAGAAACACTACGAAATTGACGTAGCCGCGATCGATAATAAACGCCCAACCAAAGAAACCTGCATGGTAGTCTGCAGAGCAGTCCAAATCGATCGCACGGCAAAATACGCTAATACGCCTACTTTGCAGGCTACCTGCAAGGCAGCAACTGCTTAGATATAAATTTTGGGTTATAAACTGTTTCAGGTATGCCGCAATCAAACGCGCTGGCACAATACATTAAGCGGGTAGTTTAACACTTTTAAAATACCGTGTTGCTGTAAGAGTTGACCGGAGCCCAAGATATGGATCCATAACGGAAGTGGGACGCTAAAGCAACCGACAGCCACTGCAGTGCAACCAGAAAGAAAAGACCTGCTGCAAACCGGCAATGTGCCATGTTGCCTTCCTTTACACTTGCCGAAGCCTCCGGCTAATATTAAAACTCCTAGACTTCTATCAAGGCAAATTATTTAAAGGGGTTGGGTACATTTGTACCCTTATTTGGCTAATGTGATTATTTCCTGTCACTCAAACTCACAAAAAGGGACGCCGTCAGACTGGTTGTTGTAGACAACGTACGTACTCATCTGAGAGGATCTATTCTCGGAGTGATTCGAAGTTACAAGTTTTATGTATATATACAGTGTATTTGTGCAAAAAGTCTGGCAACAGGCAAACTTTGATTCAAAACCAAAAACATGTGTTGCCTTTATTGACTTCAACCAGTCAAAGGGCCTTAAGCAACTGACCATGAATTACATCACGCCCATCTGAAAAAAATATATTAAAAATAAACTGTCCGAAAACAATAATTCCTTTTTCATGATAACAATTAAATTAAGAATTATCGCCGAACNAAACTTTGATTCAAAACCAAAAACATGTGTTGCCTTTATTGACTTCAACCAGTCAAAGGGCCTTAAGCAACTGACCATGAATTACATCACGCCCATCTGAAAAAAATATATTAAAAATAAACTGTCCGAAAACAATAATTCCTTTTTCATGATAACAATTAAATTAAGAATTATCGCCGAACTATGTGGCTACTTAAACAAAACATTAGGCAAATTTAGACAAAGGTGCCTCTGTTTTCTATTGTATTCTCATTTGAGGTCAACTAAAAATGAACACTCAGGAACCCCGCAAACAGCGATGGTAAATCTTAAATTTTCCGAAAGTGCCATAAAAGAAATAAAGAGTGATAAGACAGCAGAAATTCTTACTTGCCGCGAAAGTCAAATGATTACGTTCCAAAAACACATTTTGTATTATTTAACATTGTGCACGGCGTATGACCCCCAAGACGCGGAGCAAGCGATTCAAGAATTTAATTATGTTAATTAAGTTTTTCGACTGTGCTTTTTGTTCACTTTTCAGGCCAATGATCTTTTCAAAGTATGTTTTGACTTTCTAATCGTGGCTAAACATGCATTTCTCTGGTTGGTCAATCAACCTTTATGCTACGCTTCTTATCTTTGCTTCTGCTCAGTTGTTCGAACTGAGATGGGTGGTCGAGGCTATCCACTGGATAAATCTCTATCCAGTGGATGAACGATCGGTTTGTCTTATACTAGTAAGTAATTTTATTTTTGGAGGGTAACACTTGACAGTATTTATGTAATAAAACACTGGTAAATTCGTGGCCCTCAAACTTTGCCCTCATAATGATCCACTGGAAAGTGTTTTATCCAGTGGGTAGCGTTATTCAACGTTTGAACAACCAGGACCCAAATAAAGGACCTTCCTTTTCAGTGGAACTTGGATTCCAGATTCGAATATCGTTGGCGGGATTCCTGATTCCTACGGCTGAATTTCGGTCCGCTCCAAAGCCCAGGATTCGAGCAGGTTCCACAAGCAAAAATACTATCTATGGTTAATCCGGCTTGCAATAGGGAGAGATATAGCCTGTTCCAGGCTTTGAGACAGTCGGGTCCGCGAAATTGAGAAAACTCGAACACGAAAATAAAACGGGATGGGGGTAAAAACCACCCCCAAAGCGCCCCCTTTCCCAAATCACGCGTCGTATTTTCACGTGCCTTTCACTTACGCGTCACCCTCGACTATCTGAGAGCCTGGAACAGGCCGCTAGGAGAGATAGAGATTGGAAACCTCAAAGGCAATTGGGATGGATTGTTTCAATAGGAAAATTGTCTAGCGGGTGAAGCGTACGTATATAGGACAGTTGAGAAAGGACTAAACTTAGTTTGCATACAGGTTCCCTCGCAAATAAGCATTCAATTGCATTAAAGAATAAGCGATTTGATAATAAAACAATACTCAGATAAATGCCGGCCTTTTATTCATAAACGCAAATGTTCCTCGCTTTAATTCGCGTTCGAGGTATAAAGGCCTTCAGTGTGCCTTGCCTTAACACATGCATACCACAACCAAGAATAAATATAAGGTTGTCTAGTACTATAAAATAAATAAAGTTCGGTGAAAGTTTAAGTTAAAAGCGATCTTTCTTTACAGAAATGTCAAAGGTCAACAAAATTAGGTAACCCATACCTATAGAATAAAACGAAAGTCGTCATAACAGCATGACTTTGCGGCTAGGACGGAGTGTACTTATAATTGTTATTCGACGACCAACGATCCTAGATATTCTGATTTTTAACATGGCGTTTACTTCAAAGAGACACCAACAAGCTAAGTGTATCTGCAGTAACATTGCGGAAGAGTCTGGAATTTCCGCACTGGACTGTGCAGCCACAGAAGACGCTGTCGAGTCGACCTTAACCAGAGTGCAAATCGGTACATTTTCTCGAGACTGGCGGATGCCTACTACTACGGCTAGTTAGTTGACTAAACATGTTATTCTGGACTTTGGAAAACAGCCACAGACAGCCAGTTGTATATTTAATTACTTCAAAAACACGGAGCACCACGACGAAGCTCACTCTTAGAATGAGTAGTTATTTAATTAGCATGACTGAAAGAAGGGCCCTATCTGTGAAAACAGCAACAGCTGTGTTTACAAAGTTCAATATAATGAACTATAGGTTTATGAAAGCTTCGTGGCTCCAGAAAAACACTAATAAGACAGGGTGGTAGCCAACGAATTCGCCTTTTTCGCGCGCCGACATCTTGACACCAGAACGAGGCCAAGCAAGTTGTCAACCAATCACCGAAATAGTTAATTTTGCAAAATGGTAAACAAAGATTATTGTAGCTTGATAAATTGTCACTATTCAGCTCCGAACAAAAGAGCCCCATCGATGATTCCACACAAATCCGAAACGGAACTATCTTAGAAACGAACTGGAAACGATTTATCAAGCAAGTGGAAAAGCGATAAATCACACGTTAGGTGAAGTAAAATACATGGGCACAATTTGATTCAGCGTTGCCTTAGTTTATTGACAAATTATCTTTAGTAAATGTTTCTGTAAACAATTGATCACATTTTGGGACTTGAATTAAACTTTATGCCAAAAACCTGGAGATCAGTGAAGCCATTGTTTTCTAACATAGACAAATTCGCGGTCTTAAGCTTTTCGATCGCGCGTAGATTTGGACACCTCAAGCCTCGCTGCGGTGAGCGGTTTCATACGTTACAATCCCAAGATAGCCGAAACGCGATAAAGGCGAATGGCTCGAAATTTGGCAACCGACTGGGGGAAATATCTATCCGATCACTAACGAATATCTCGCATGGATCCTTCCTTCTCAATCGTGTCATCATCTTGAATGTAAGCGTTCCTTCTACTCAGTTGTTCGTCTTGTGTCGTGTACAGATCCCCGACCTTATTTCGGTTCATGAGCAGCCTTGCAATGCGGTACTTAACAAACACAAACACCAGGGCAATGAGAGCAAGCAGACCAACCCCACCAGCGGCTGCCGCACCTCCAATTATAGCAGCTTGTTGTTTATTTTTACCGGTATCTGAAACGGAAAAATCGTGCATATTGTTTGAAAGCGTGGAATGCATTAACATTAGTTAGAATTGTTACAAATATTGTTTGAATATCGAGGGGATCCACGTCGATAGTATAGTTGATATTTTTGTGCCTTATTTTAAAAGTGAGTTGTTCAGTGTTTAATAATTGTTCTTAAAGGACTTCTTGGCGACCATATTGGTGATCCAAAACAGTAATATAAAATCATGAAACGGCGGCAATGTTGGTGTTCTGTTGGAGTTGGACTCTTTGAAAGCTTCCTTTTGTCTAAATAAATTCGCATTGTTGCTGACCGGTTAAGTGAAAACACTCTGTACTTTTAAGAACCTCTTAGTTACATTCGGTTTTAAATAAAATACCTCCAGCCTCCTCAGGTATCTTATCCTTGAACCGCACTGGCCCTCGTTTGATTCGGTAAGTCTTGGTCGCACCTTCAGGCTGGTCGCTATCTTCATCCGCATTTCTTCGTTTTCTGCTCGCACAACTCTGGGAACACCTTATAAAAGGCACAGATAAGACTATTTTCTACTATATTCTTTTTAAATTGTGTCCTAATACTGATGACTAACAAACTTTTATGAAGATTTGGTTAGGGCACTTGAAAGATGAAGATTTATAAGAATTGGTAGCCAAATGAATAAACAAGAATTTAATTTTGATAATACCAGGATACTGATTTGTTGAAGATTTTAATATTGGATCTACCTCTAGGTTAGTTCTTTTTCTTTCATCTTTTTCTTTTAAAGACGTCCAAAAAGCTTAATCGATCTCACCGCATTTGCTTGAACCTTCCGTAAGTACCTGAACTCATGATAGGGAATCTACCTTTACCACAGAGTCCTAGCCTGTTTACGGACCCACCCATCCCCCCGGTAAAAATTCCCTTCTCCGATTTTTATTGAGGGCAGGCGGTGGGACTGTTCCCAGGCTACTGAGTCCAGCAAAGCGCTTATTTGCTACCATTACTTTGAAAATGTCGACAGCGTACAAACGCAAAAGATTTGGTTATCTTACCTGGAGTTTGGTGAATTTCTGTGACAAGCTAGCAGCTCACAATGGAAGTAAACAGCATCGTAGTCGTTGAAAAATCTGAACGTCTTGATATTAAACTGCTGAAAACTTCTCGACGAACTGTACGGATAAGCCATAGTGGTGTCTCGAACACAGCTATTATGATTAGAGGAAAAAATAAATTCCCTTTAAGTTTAATGCATATACACAATAAGCAGTCGTACTGTATGATACAAGGTATGAATGGATTTTTGTTTCCAGAGATAGTAATCATAATATTGAGAGAAGTTAATTAGTGTTTGCCTCACGGTACTGAATGAATTAGATTAAATCATTGCAGCTAGTTTCGATTAATTAACCACCATTTATAGACAGTTTGAAGTTTAAAATTGTAGTTAAGATTGCGCTGCCGATTTTTCATCATTCCTTTTACATGTTTTCCATAAATGTTTGACATCTTGATGAGTTCCTTTCTATACAACGCCGAACCAATCGCAATGCTTGGAGGTGTCTCAAAAGTGGATCTTAGTTTAACCATGTTTCCTTTCTTCTTGTTTAAATTCTTAAAAAGACCTCGCCCCTAAAACATAAAGGACTTCGACTAGTTCACGCTGTACTATGTGAAACCCATCTCTATACTACATGAAAACCATACAGGTTTTTTCGGTTAAACATCCCTAAAAACTCTCAGAAACTTTTTCAGCTTTCTAGATAAAAAAAATGGGTTCTTGACTTTCAATAACGGCTAAAATTACTTTTCTTGCATACTATACCCGTTCAATATAATGTCGTATTTTGGCGTGGAATAGAAATTTCCATCTTTAGTTGCTCTGCAGTTTAACGCCATCACAACCAGATCAGCACTAGACTCCACACTAAACTGAACGTACATGTCTTCGTTAAGCTCTAATGTTACGGGATACTCGTATCCGTAGTAAGGAGTGAGATAGGCTGAAGTCCTGTAGATGTCCATCTTGAAAGTGAAATTACCGAAGCCAACTAAAAAGATGAACAATCGTTCAAGGGTTAGTAAGGTTGGAAGAAGATATGTTCTCTGATTGATTATTAATTTCATGCAATCAAAGGGCATGTTTCTCAGGCTTAGACTTTGTCAAGATACAAGAACGTCATGGACTCCATATTTGGCACCCTCGCCTGATTTTTCTCTTTGCTTTAAAAACTCTCAGGCCCCTCTAAGGCTTTTTCTTATATTAAATTATGTTTCCAATTAATACATCTTCACTTGATGTGGCTAACTCTAAACTGGTAAGATCGGTGGAGGTTTGGATGATCGATAAGAAACATTTATACACATAGAAATTATTCATGTGAATGCGATGGGAATTTTAATATAAGACAATAAAGATAGATAAGAATGAGTAACTAACATATAGGTTATAGGGTTGTTATATTCTAAAATTAGAAGAGAGAGAAGTAGAGAATGACACAAAGCGCTTTTTTATTATATAAAAATCATAAAGTACAGCTTGCCGGAACTGACTGAACAGACGACTTGCAGTGAGCAGTTTTCATAAAACGTGTGTGCAATCAATAGTAATCCTGCCAATTTGATTATTCAGATAAATATAAATTAATAACTGATTTACAAGACAAATTTTAAGAGCTAGACAGAAAAATCCAGCATTAAATAATCAACAATATTTGATTTGATGATTTTACAGATAATCTTGTTAATCAATTAATGCAAGCCAAACAAAACACTGATAATAAAATTTAAAGAAAATCAGTCGTCTGTCTATGATGATTGATTATTTTTAATTAATATTTATTTATTAATAATTTTCTGATTGATGTCAGACTGTTGACGCGGGTTGCTGGTTTATAAATAACGACATAAATGTGCTCATTTAAGGTTCCTATACCTGGATCTTGGACAAAAATTTCACCAGTTATGAAACTTAGTCCCAGAAGCTTCTTTCTTGAATAGCTACAGTTAAACTGGAGATCAAAGTCATGATCTCTGGTGATGTAGTTTTGTACTTGAATATCTCCTTCGATTTCGTTGGTGAAAATTATCAAGTCGCCCATTTCGGTAACTGTTGTTCCACAGTCATCCAAAGAAGTGCTCAATACCAGATGGGTTGGTGTTTCACTGGCACGGCACCGGCCCAGCCAAGACCACCGTAAGTGAAGCATACTAGCATTCAAATAAGGGAAGTTTTGCTTTTCGAGGTATACTGTCATGTTGTTTTCACCACAAGTTACTGTCACGTTATTGTCTGAATGAAAGTGAAAAGTTAGCAATAAAAGTACTATGAAACAACAGACTTTCCGAAGTCTGATTTTTGCAAAACAGGGGCATAGAATCGCTTATTACCTTCAATTCCAGCAACATATGAAGCAAAGAGAAGCAGGGAAAGGAGAAGAAACTTGTAGCACGCCATGTTATCGAAGCTGAATGTTTCAGTCTTTAGCTCTCGCCCACATGCAGCGATAAATGTGTGAGCCGCCTAAGGGTGTGGCTTTGTCATTTGGACTTCAATGTCACTCAAAATAGTCGAATATATTTGACGGATGCGTAAGTAAAAAGTATTTGTAAGCAACATGTTTGTAATACCTTTTCTCGACGATCTATCTCTAACCAAGACAAGCCAACTACGTAGGTTAAAAAAGAAGTGATGTGTTTTCGATGCTACACGCATAATCTACTCTCACTAGCTGAAAGATCGTGTATGGGATCATTTAGAACGCGGGTATCTACCTCTTGATGATTTTGTTTCATTTTAATAGCGCCGTTTTCCACACCGCTTCTGCGACCGCTGTTACATTCTTTAAAGTCAGTCGACCAACTAATAAAACAAAATACGGAATTTTAACCCCTGTTTTCAAGTAATAAACTAAGCCTTTTTCTATCATTTCCGTGTCGCACTGTAACCAAGTTCATCTTGTTTTTCATCTTACAGCTTCCAGAGGCAATGCTCAAATCACTTTGAAATCACGTTTTTTCTCTTGTTGTTTCAAACCAAGAATACTTGACCCGTAACAGCATAGGTTTTGAGACTACTGGGGTGTATTTTTAACTTAAGACCTTAAGTCGACGTTTTATGCAAATAAGTAATAGTTAGTTAATTGTGCTGTTTTCCTTTGAGATTTCAAAATAGATATCTTTGCATCGGCAGACACTAATAATGCATCACCAGACTGCGACCAGGTGAACATTAAGACCGTTGTCTCGTTTGACTAAATTTCACTGTGCTCTGTAGCGTGTGAACGGTCAATAACATCATGATAGATGAACTATTCACTTTAACTTATCAGTCCACTCCATCGATCACTTAACCATAACATAAAAAAGGCAAAGTTTTATTTACTGTATGAACTTTGGTAGTTTGACTTAATGTAGAGGGTAATTTTCTTCTCGCGCGGAGCTCAACATGTCATTCAGCTACATTGATGCCCAACTTTTCGAGTCTTTCAGTTCGTAAGGAATATTTGAGAAATTTAAAAAAAAAAACAAGAAAATTCCTTGCAAGCTTCGTGGCTAATTGCAGTTAATTGACTTCGTTCCTCAGCCGGCTTCTAGAAGTAATTACCAGCTTAACAAACACAACATGAATTTGCCCCTGGCTGTTCGGTTTCTTAGAAATAAAACCAGAAGAAGGTTCATAATTGAATAATAATTTAGTATTATAAAAATTCAAAGTATTACCACTGAAGACAGAAGAGCGGCTGAATGATTGCTGAATGGTTGCTGCCTCGCATCAAGATCAGAATTGAATTTCCAATAGTTAAAAGAAAAAAAAAGTAGGTCGGACCTAAAGGTAATTAATTTCAGGGAATGCATGGCAGTGCGATTAAGTCAGCTTACTGCTACAGGATCTCAATCCATTGGGAAAGTGTATGTTGTATGTATGTGCGAAATTGGTTAGAACTGACTTACTAGGGCAATGATTGGGGAATTTATTTCAGTTGAAAAATACTTAAGCATTTCAAGGTGCAATTGGCAGTTCAATAACTCGATAATTAGCACGTTATTATTGATATAGTATTGTATAAAGGCGTTCAAGTTGGAAGATCAAGCACAATAAATGAATTCGCCTCCGGCGTGCCAATTTCTTAGAAAGACTGAATTCAGACAAAGGTTAATATAATAACAGCATTAGTAGTACGTGGCAGGCTAGAGACCTTGTGCACGTACACAACTGTGCACATGTCTCCTACTTTTTAGTGCAATTCTTTGCCGCCACTGCATGGCTACGAAATGAAAAAAAAACTCACGCAGGCTCCCACGTCTCGTGGAAAAACACGACACGACGATTTTCCTTTCCTCTCTCTGAACTTTGGAAGATAAGATCCCTACAAACTCTACCACAAACGAATTTGTCAACGCGTATAAACCCGGGGGAATATTAATCATCCAAACTGAAGTTTGAAAAAGCACTTAAGGATAAACTTTTTAAAATTGACGTGGTTGCAGTATGCTCCCTACTGAAAAAAAAAAAAAAAGAAATGAAAAGAAATGAAATAGAACATAGTTAATTGAGTGGAATGGTTATGAAACCCGTCAGACTCCTTTGTTATATGTTTTTGTGGACCTGAAATTGCACAACGTTCAAAAGAATTCCTATCATTTTGATTGTATTGACCAATAAAAACGTTGCATTAATTTATTCCGTAACAATTTGCCAACAGAAAACAAAGGATTGTGCACTTTCAGGGTGCTTCCAATATAAACTGCAGCACTGTTGTTTTATCATTGATGTTTGCCGCTTTTAGCTGCTTTTCATAACCAGTCTCCTCTAATAACTACGAATAGAATAAAGAAAAAGGCGGACAAATTAAGCAAAAAGACTGACTGTTTAAGATCAAATAAGTAGTAACAACCAACATCCTTAAAGCAAGAGTTAAAAGCAAAAGCAAATAAGTCTAGGTTAAACTTCCTAGTATAGGTGCTCAAGATTGACTGAAAGAACTACAGAACTCTAAATTTAGAGATTAAGAATATCGTTTGCGGCACAGGGCAAAAGAGAGATTCAATTTGACAATGTTTTAATCATGATTCTCAGTTGCAGATTAAACTGACATATAGCTATACTTATTTTTGCGTAGTTATAATAACCGTTTCAAGACTCAAAGTAATCAGGAAAACTTGGTCACTTGGCAAAAATTGATGTTTGCCCTTTGCCGGAATGCTAATATGTTGTAGTTGATAATTAAAATCAGCAGTTAGTTTTGCACTGCCCCACCGACTTTGAAATACAAGAAAACATTCCCATAATGCTAAGGGTAGGTGATTCCCATTCGTCCTGTTTAAATCAATTTTTTTTTTCATTTTTTTAAAATCTAATTAGTCTTATCTTAATTTTTGATACATTTACTTACCAAGACGAAAACAACTGATCGATCTACTAATTGAAGGAGTGAGTTCACTGAGTTGAGTAGTAACTAAAAGGCCCTACTACATGGATCAGGAGTTGCAGTGATTAATGCTGAAGTCAGTCAACGTGTAGGACTGCTTGCAAAATGACGTCATCTTCACGGCAAGAAATATGGTATTCACCGTCTCGGAAAACTCTCGGTTAATTTTCGAAAACGCGGCATTTTGCTAAAGTTCTCTCGCGTTTTCCGGTCGTAAAATCCACTCTTTTTCCGTCGTTTTCTGGCCGGTGAATTTGAGTATTCGTTCCATTATCCGATAGTTTTCAGGCTCAGTTAACACCAGGAAAACGCTTGTTTTACTGGTGTTAACCGGACCGTTAACGCACGGATAATTCATGCAAAACACACGGAAAACATACGGTTAACACATGATGAACGGATCGTATTCCGTTGTTCACCGCCGTTTTCCAGTNAAAAGCGCCCTGGGACGAGGTTACGTCCAGAATCGATACTTCAGTCTTGTTTAGTCTCGTGTAAATTAGGGCTATTATATGTTAACTCACCTTTAAATAGAAAAGCAAATTAAAACAAAATAAATTCTGGTAGTTGTAGCCAAATGACATCATCGTGAAAGTGGTCTATTGTTACATGGGACCCAGTAATTTTAAATAGTACTAGTTCGTCACTGTTGAGTTTACCACAGGTAACCCAGGCTCAGTGATAGCAGTACCACAGAAATGATGGCGTAAAATTACAGTGTTTATACGGAGTAAAGCTACGATCCTAAAATTTGTAAGAAATATACTAATAAAAGGTCAATGAAACTAAACGCTGAAGTTGGTTTTGTTGAGTGCTTGCCTTTTGTATATATTTACAGAATCTTAATTATCAAGTCTATCAGGCCCATCTGATAACATAAGCTAGAACATTCGAAAGTTTCCCTTTAGCAGCCTCTTAGTAGCTTACTGTCACCTTGGTTTGTCACAAATATTATAAACACCGTTTAAAATATTCCTTTATTGAAAAACACGACTTCTATCGATTTAATTTCCTCTTCCATACGTGTCTGTTTTCAGTGATATTTGCGACTGATCATTCTGGTGACGTAAATGGTATAATTTCAATTATATATTTAAATGGTATAATTTCAATTATATCATTTACGTCACCAGAATGTAGTCGCTTAAAAGTCTGTAAATCACCATCAGCAAATCGTCATCTAAGTCAGTAAATCATCATCTGCTGGCAGCGATTCCGAATACTAAGCTCTGTAATTCTTTATACAGAGCACATTGTCGAATGAAGTTCACTTGTCAGATTTTGTGAAGCAAAACTCATCTTAATTGCATGGCAAACAAAATAATTCAGTTGAACAATGCAGAATTAACAAAATCGGAGAACCTCATGCATTGAATGTACTGAATCTCATTACAATGAGTACTGCTCTTGTGCTCGCATTTTTCCCGCATTTGATAACATGATATTTTCCTGAAGTGCCGATTGTTAATAAATTATTTTCCCAGAGACTATGACAATATATCAAAATATACATCTGCCTCAATTTTAATATTAGTAAAAAAAGAATGACAAATTAACTCCGGTTTACACCTCAAAAGTAAAAAATCAAATGAGTTAAAAAGGCCCTACTCAAACAAATGATAAAATGGGATAAAAATACAATGAAAGGTCTTGTGTATATATTCAACAAATGTTGGTACTTACAAGAACATCGTTTGTAAAATCACGTTCTTATTGTTAAAATTGACAAATTTGCGGTTAGCAATCTTTGATGAGCGTTTCCATTGCCTGGCTTGTTGAGAACAGTGGGAAGTGGAATCCTAATTATCTATCTTATTATATGTTGCAAATGTCCATTTCATATACAGGTTTGTAACAATACAAATAACCGTTTCAGCCACTTACTTTTAGACTGACGTTTCATCAGCCAGTGAATAATGGCAATAAATTTGGCCGGCGACTTCAACTACTGTCCACGTAAGACCTTTAAGAGCCATTATCTGAGAAAATCGAGAATCGCACGACACTCGTCAAAAAATCGAATTTT